AAGAAAAGGGTTTTTCGTCTTTTTGCAGGCAAAAGCAAGGGTAATATGGTCATTTTATATAAAATACTAACGTCGTTTGTGCAAAATAGACAGAATGGGGGAATCTTGACATTGTCAGGTAAAGTAGGGGAGGTTACTGTAATTATTCAAACCACATGGGAGGTCCCTGTATTTGTCAGAAACCTCAGGGGAGGTAAATGTAATTTATCCTAATAATTATATGTGTAAGGAAACTTTTTGTAACTATTAAATAATAAAAAAATTATTGGCTATTTGTTATTTTATCCATAATTTTTTTATAAAATAAATATATAGAAAGGCCCCACTTTTAAAGTCCCGCCTAAAGTTGATAAATCTCAGGATTGACCCTGATACTAACTAATAAATGTCATAATTTTTTTTTGAATAAAATATTAGCTAGAATCATTGCACGAAATGTTGTTCTGATAGACAATTGTAAATAAGATGATATTTTTAAGTGATGATATAAGTGAAATATAACCTTATCTTGTTTGAAAGGTTAGGAACAACCTTCAATCTGTGTTGGAAACGTATCGGTGATGTTGGTAAAGATTTCAAATGCCATTATTGCCACTTGTAACAAAACAAAAGCAAATGTGCGAAAATTGCCTTTCAGCCTTAATTTTTAAGGAGCTGGTTTTCTTGGGTCCATAATTTTGTTCTGGTGCGTGAGATTTATCACAAGTTTTATTTTGCTGTGTTTTTTATGTATATTATTTATATAAAAAAAATTAAGCGAATCTGATATTCATAACATATTTTATTTATTATGTTTGTTACTAAAAAATGAATGGTCTATTTTTAAAAATACATATTATCTTTCATTTTCTTCGAGATAAATACAATAATTTTAATAGATTATGATTATCAAATCAATTTAATTTATTTTTTTCTGCCTGAATAATATAGGGGTATTTTTTTTAAGGTTCCTGACAAACCATAGTTTAATTTTTCAATATATATATATATATACATAACTTATTCTTTTGTTGTTCAATTTTATTCTCCTCCTCTTTCAAAAGTAAATAAAAATATTTTGTCTTTCTTAAATGTTGTTTGGGATGAAATTTTTTGGTTAAAATAATAAAAAAGATCATTGAAAAAAAAATCAAAATATAAAAAGTTAAAGTCACATTTTACACATTAATCAATCATTTTTTTTCCCTTATAACCATCTATTTAGTCTAAAAATTTATTCCAAAAACACTACTCTTTTCTTTTCATAAAAAAAAAAAATCAAAAAATTAAAAATCACTAAAAAAGTTAAGGCCAAGTTTGGCATCCTCTAAAAAATCTAAAAAGTCAAAAAATCACTATCCTATTTAAGTCACATCATCTTATTTAAGTCACATCACATCTCTAACACATCACTTCAAACCCAACCCAAATTTCATAAAAAGTCAAAAAGTACACTTATTTAGTCTTTCCAAACTTGACTTTCGAAGTTATTAATATCCGTGCTGCGCACGTTATAAGTTTATGTGCATGAGCATGCGTGCCTTTCTTAATGTTGAAATGAAAGTTAATTTTAAATCTAGGTTTCATTCGAGAAATGTAGTACTCCCTCCGTCCCAAAATAATAGTCCCTTTTGGGGAATTTAACTTTTTTTGGTAGTACAATTATTGCATTTGAAAAAAGTTGATTTTTCAAAATTACCCTTTTAATAGTATATTTTTTGGGAATATCAATGTCATAATTGTACTTTTTATATTGTTTATTAATTTAAAAAAAGGGCAAAATAGGAAATTTATATTATTTTTGTACTTGATTTTTGAAGAGAAAAGTCAAAAAGTACACTTATTTAGTCTTTCCAAACTTGACTTTCGAAGTTATTAATATCCGTGTTGCGCACGTTATAAGTTTATGTGCATGAGCATGCGTGCCTTTCTTAATGTTGAAATGAAAGTTAATTTTAAATCTAGGTTTCATTCGAGAAATGTAGTAGTATTGACTAAACTTGTTAGAAAATTCAGTCTTTCAATATTCGGCAAATTAACTTTAAATAAATGGTCAAGAGCATAGACCATGAAAAATTATACCCACAAATATAATAAGTCACGTGTTTAGACTATTCTCACTTCCTGAGGATGACATGTTTAGACAACACCACTGACTAATAATTAAAAAATAATAAGCATTAATAATTAAAAATAAAAACTTTTTCATCAATACAACACCACTGATTAATAATTTCCCTTTTTTTAATTGATTTTTTTATGGATTTTTTTCATAAATTTTAATTGACTCTTAGTCTAAAAACCCTAAAAACTAAATATAAATACATATAAATTATTGTTTTTTTTTTAAAAAAATACTAAACAAAAAAAATTAATTTAAATAGAAAAAGGTTTATTTATTTATTTTGTTGCTTGTAGACTTTTTAAATTTTCATTTATTATTTTTTTATTTTTTTGGAGATTTCGTCTTAAATTCCTTAAAAATTTTAAAAATATAAGATGTACTAAAAAGTCAAAAAATTCACTTCTTAACAAATTAAAGTTTGTATCACACTATTGGAATACAATTTTTGCTTATAATTTATTAGATAGAAATATATTAAATAAAAAAATTAATTATTTCAAAACTAAGGGATAAGTGCTTTTAATTTATTTTTTTTTCCTGATTATCAAACTTTAACTTATAATATGCTCACCAAACCGGAATAATTAATATCATTCTCTATAATAATTCAATATAGTCTTTATGTTTTTATAAAACTAGTTTTTGTATTTTTTTTAACCAGATGGGCTAATTGGGCCTTTCATTTGGGCATTGATTTGACGCCCGAGCCTGCCCAATCATATCTCTAGCCTCAATCTATGACTTGGACAAACATAGATTTCGAACTGTAATGTACAGAGGATACATATCGGAGATGTTCGTGCCATATATGGACCCAACCGAGGAATGGTCACTACAAGAAATAAGGGTTTTTGCGGTATTTTTTTAGCGATATTTTTTAAAATATCATTTTTGTTAATATTTAACGACGTTTTAAAAACGTCGCATATTTTTTTTATTAAAACGACACAGTTTTGTAATTGAAGGCGTTTAAAAACGCCTCCAAATGCGATAGGCCACACGCGCCTATTTTAAATCTGAGAATAAAACTTTTGTAAGGCGCCTTCAGACATAAACCAACATTGAATCCTCACATCGCCTCTCTCTCAACCCTCTCTAAAAACCCTTATTTTGAATCTCACCTTCAAATCTCACAGATTCACCGAGTTCGAAGCTCCACCACCACGACCATCTGCACCGGCGAGGTAGCAAGATTCACCGATTCACCGATTTCACAAATTCAACGATTCAAATCTCACAGATTCACCGATTTTAGATCAGTCTGCACTGCCACCATGATTTCGATTCAGATCGGTTTGCACTGCCACCGCAATTTCGATTCTATCTCTAGATCTCTCTCTCAGAGATTTATCCTTGATTTCATCTCAGAGCGATTTCGATTTCTCTCTCTCTCCCTCTCTCTCTCTCTCTCTCTCTCTCTCTATTTCAAAGCTCCACCGCCACCACCATCTGCACCAGCGAGGTATCGATTTCTCTCTTGGCTCTGACGCTGGTTTCATTTATATTGTTAATTTTCATCGGCAATTGCTTCTTCTTCGTATTTTGTTTTGATTATCAATTTGCTATTTTAACTCTCCATTCTAAATTGTATTATTGAAGTTATTTGGAGAATGAGAGTCGTTTATTTTGTGAATACGAAGCTGTGAAATTACATTTATGGTTTTATGATAGTTGTTAACTTCTATTAAGCTGTGAATTTACTTTCCAATTCCAATTCTAGTATGGTATTCTAGCAACTTTAACTTTAATCTCATCAGCTCTATTTATTGGTCTAAGAGTAAGATGAGCTTTAGGCTTTTCTTGATTCCATTTAGTTAATTTGTTGGCTCTCTCATTTTCCTTAATTTTCCCACAGTTCCTCTCTCATTTTCTCTCACTTTCTCGCCCCAGCAAATTCCGACAAACAGTCTCCAGCAAGAAAAGGAGTAGAACCCTAGTCTGGTTTTATCAGTTACCTATACCATCAATATCCATATCGTTAGATATTTTCTTGAATATGCTGAACATGTTCATTTGTCATCAATGTGAAGGATAATTTCCCATTGTTGTTTTGTGGAGAAGAATCTTTATTGTATAACATGATTTTGAAATTTTAGGTGTTAAGTATATTTTTTCTTAAAGTTAGATGACAACAGTTACGTTCAGTTTTCTTTTCCTTGTTTATCTGGAACATCTGTCTTTCTCACTTATGCTTATGCTTGGTGTCATTTCAATGTGTGGTGCTCATGCTTGTTAGATTGATGACTATGAAAAACGGAACTTATGTGCTCTTGATCTATGATATTAGGCTCTTCATCTCAAATCAATTAATTCTTTGGTAGTCAATTTTGTTTCAGATTATTGAACCTTAGCATGAATTATATAAATAAGTCTTTTATTTTGTCCCACTATTTGCTCAGCTGATTAAATGATCTAAGGCTTGTAATTCCACAGGGCATCATTTAGCCCTAGTTCTAACCTTTGTTTAAGGCTCCATTCTCTATAAGAAAAAGAACTTCTTTGTATATGACAGAAATAGGTGAAGTCATTTCAATGAAATTGTAGTTTTTTGTCCCTCCTTTCTGCATTTTGTCAAGACTGAACTGCACAAATATGGTTATTTGAATGATCAATTTTTCTTAACTTCATCTGTATTTCCTTCTAAAATGCACCTCTTTTTCTATTTGATGGATTATTTTAAACTTTGTTCTGGCATTGTTCAATAATTATGCATATTCTGTCCTCTCATTGGTCATATATTTGAAAATAAGGGGTTGGAATTGATGTCTCATGTTGCATCTTCACTATTGAAGACAATGAGTAGCTAATGCCTGCTGCATTTATGCCAAAACATGTTACTAAGGAAAATATGTTTGTGACCCCTAAAAAGCCTCCCCTAATTTGACTCATAATGACATGGCATGTTATGTGTCAACTTTTGATTTGCCCCAAACTCAACCATAGAAGACCCAACTCCCTTCTCACGTTATTATGGGTGCATTTGAGGATTTGAATTGTGGGTCTCTATCATTTCTATGTTACTCAGTTTCTTAATTGAAAGATATATTCTTTTCTTTGATTCTTTGCTATGTTAATAATTTCAGTCCGAGCATGATGGGTCAGATGTACAAGTGCACCTAAATGTTGAACATCATTATGAAGCAGATGTAATCCCCAACATGTCAAGGTCACCTAGGGTAAAGTACATAACCTATTATGAAGACTCTGACAGTCTTCCTGGAAAGAGAACAGCAGTTTGGGAGCTTGACAAGGGTATGTAAAATGTCTCACAAGGATCAAGTTTTGAAGAGCGACATAAGTAAAAATTTACATTTACATCCTTATCCCTATCCCTATCCCTATGGCCTTTGCATCACTAGTTCTTTTGCTTATGTTTTATTTATTTTTTTGTTGGTTCTTTCGTTGCTTTAGGGCAATCAATTATACACTTCACGCATATTTGTCTGTTCACATGTATTGTATGTATCATTTCCCTTAAACAGGATGAATGAACCTTATAGCCAAATAAATGAGTTTTTGGTTTGTGCTCCAAGGGTAGTAAAATAGTAAGAAAAAATTATGGCTACATCTCAAGGTCACGGGTTGTGGAAAGCAAGTTTTTCATTTTAAGGTCAGATTCAACAAAAAAAAAATATGAAATAATCTTTGCTGAAATAACATTAGCTCGCTTAAATTCCACAAGAACATGAAGTTCAATTTATGCTGATATTCTCTTAGCATAGTGAAAAAAATGTTGTAAAAGCTTCTCTGTCTTCCTTTCATCTGAGTGATATTCTCTTAGCATAGTGAAAAAAATGCTGTAAAAGCTTCTCTGTCTTCCTTTCATCTGAGTAATAGCATTACAGATTATGCCACAGCCCACAAACATTTGACCATATTATAGTTTCCTCACAATTTTAAACATTAGGAAAGAACTAAGACCCATATAGATAGATCTAGTTCTTTTCTTACTCTAGTTTGTTTCTTCTCTTTACCAATCATAATGGCACTTTAAAATTAGTTGGAATTGCTTTCATGTAGCAAATCACAGGCACATTGTTAGATCTCCAGTTCTAATGCGAGAATTGTGGCTTGAGATGTGGCATGATAGCCATCCTGATTCAAAATCAAAATTTGTTACAAAAGGTGGATCTCTTCTTTCTTAGTTCTTTTTGTTTCATTAAATTGTTTTACCTCTTAAATTTTACATGGAACAACTAAGTGTAGACCTTTGAGGGAAGAGGACTGTTATTGGGATTATGGAAAAGCTCGTTGTGCATGGCCTGAGCATTGTGAATATAGGTATTTTTCTTTCATGTTTTTTAATTATTCTTTCGAATATTGTGGTCATCAGTTTCCCTTATTGCATGATGTACAGATACGTTTTTGGAGATGTTCACCTTGGGCAGAGCTGTAGATTGAGGAATTCTTCAGCTGATCTCCTCTTGCATTACTTATAAAATATGAGGTGCCTTTTGTTCTGCTGGCTATATTGTGTGGGCTTTAAACTAGATTTTTGAGTGATCAAAGGTTCACTTATTGAAAACTAACCACAAAAAAAGAGAGGGAGGTTTTTTCTTGAAGGCATTTTGGAAAATTTTCATACTCTTCTGGAGTGTCGAGGAAAGAAAGAAGTTAAAGAAACTTGTAAATGTAGTAGAGACTAGTTGTCTGTTTATTTGTGAAGTATAGGAAGATGATAGCTGAACGTGATCATTCTATCAACTTTTGAAACAATCAAAGTTTTGGGGAAAGATTTTGAAAAATTGGGTGTGGATGGAATTTGCCATCATGTCCTTTAGAATGCTCTATGTATTTCTCAATTGAAGGAAAATGACAGATTGACATAGCAGACCTAGTAAGAAATACAAGAGGGTGTATCCATTTTGGCCAGTGAGCTCATAGACTATGTGTTGTTTTCAAAAGTTGGGATTCAACTACCTATTTTTAAAAACCATGTTATGGAACCTTTCCCAGAATTCATTAGTTTACATGTGTTTTTGATTGGGACCAATCCTTCTTTATTTCTGCTTTCTCAGGACTCTTCAGATGTTTCTTCAAGAGCTGGCATCTCACCACCATTTTGTTTCCATAGTTGCAGACATGTTGCATAGTGCCAATTGGAGGCACATGTGACAAATGTACACATATAGCTTCTCATTATCCTTATATTATATGCTCTATGGTAGAGGTGTTTTTATTATTATATTTTTTCTTTTTTTTTTAATTTCTGACATGCATAACTTGAATGCTGTATTGCAGTGTAAAGATCCTCACTTCTGAAAATAAATGGCGATGATGTGCTTTGAAGTATTCACTCTACATGTATGCAGGTGACGTTTTGCAAAAATTGCAGGTTGCCGAAAATGTAAAGGTCTCTTTTTAGTATAAACTGATCTGTTTTTCATTACTTTGAGTTGTTGCTCAATATATTCAACCTCCATTGAACATGAACGGTTCAACAAAGGTTATGACTCAATTTTTTTTTTTAATTTTATATTTTCTCATTTTTATAATTTTATTTAATATATAATTTAATTTTTTAACAACACTAAAAAAATTTAATTTATAAGGCCATAATTTTTAATTTATCTAAATCAAGATTCAAGAGAGTATGTGTTTTCTGCGGTAGCAGCCCCAGCAACAAGCCCAGCTACTTGCTCGCTGCTATTTAGCTTGGAAATGAACTGGTAACCATTTACCACTTGTCAAAATATCATGAAACAATTTGAATTTGAAAACAAGTCTCTTATTTTTCTTGTAATTAATTGATTAACAATTGTCAAGAAACATTCTTATTCATGTTGTGATTCTTTTTACTTTAAAGTGGAATCGAATTTCAGAGACTAAAACAGAGAACAAAAGGGCTCTGTTTTTTTTTTTTTTTTGGAACCATTTGTTTTTTTTTTTTTGACTGCTGAAATAACCATTTGGTTCCAAAAGGGTTGATGGGTCTAATCTCCCAAGCTGTCTATGATGGTGGCCACCACATCTTAGGGTAATTTCTCTCTCTCTCTCTCTCTCTCTCTTCTCCACTCATAAACTCCATTATTTATTTTTTTGCAGAGTGATTCCAAAAACTCTTATGCCCAGAGAGGTAATTCACTGCACTTGTTTCCTCATAATTTCAATTAAAACTAACTTCATTGAAATTCTTTAGCCTTTTGTTTTTATTTTTATTTCAGTGTATGTGATGATGAAGCTCATTTAACATTCACCCCCAAAAAAGTTAGATGACTAAACTGTTTGGAAAAATGCTAATGGTAATCTAAAGGACTGTAAATAATATTGGTAGCTGTATAAAATATCTATGAAGTGTAGAAAAATATTTTAAAATGTGTAGAAGTTGTATTATTGAGATTTTAAATTTTTTGATATTTTGTTTAACAATTCATTAAGTTGTGATTAGCATGACTCAATAGTCAAAGTATATTCTCTTTACAGTTTCTTTAGAATGAAAGTGATAGAACGTGAGCGAAATAGAAACAATATTAACACTGTAAATAACTTTTTAATCCAATAATATCCCTTGACATTGATTCTGGTATTTCATCAAACTGAAGTTCCTCTATGATCTGTTCACTGATTCTATTTACAACCTAAAACACATGACAAAAACACAGCAAACATCTCTATAATGTTAGTAAGCAGGGGAACTGACGAACAAATATTGAAGTCAGTTCCTAACTTGTCCATCATCGTGGACAGAGAAAATGGAACGCTCTCTAGGATCGATCTGCTAAAACTTTATTACTAGCAAATAATGAAGTTCATATTTACAAAATTGACAAGAAAATTCAAAATCATGTATGTGTAATTAAATATATGTCTGTGTGTGCGCTGCACAGAAAGACGTACCTTAACCTTGCTTCCTAGGAGAAGCAGAAAATGAAATTCAGACATTTTTTCAAGAGAGAACCAAAGAAGTAGAGCCTAGTAAACAATAAATTCCAGAATTTATGCCTATTGTTCTGTTCACAAAAGGAAGCAAAAGTGATGAGACTTGAGAGTCGTCTCCTACCTATGCTGTGCTCCAAAGTTTAGGCCACCATGATAGATACCGGCTCTAGAAAGCCATGCGAAATGTACATTGGCATCCAACTAGATAGATATATTTTGAGTCTATATATATTTTGAGGATGCTGTATGTTTAACTCTTATGTTTAGAGGTTAATCATCATCCTCGAAATGATTGTCTGTAGGGCCAACCCCTTTGAACCAGTGATGTCTTATTTGGTCATCCCATGGATATAAAACCCTCCAGTAATTCCTTTCTTTCCCCGTGCATTAACTTTGTCTTGGCAGATTGTTAGATTTTGGAATTGCTATCAACGGTTAGATGCATTTTCTATTGTTTATGATTACTGATATCAACTTCTCTCTCTCTCTCTCTCCCTCCCCCCCTCCCAAATTTTATACATGTTTTTAAGTTCAGGGAACAACAGAGATAAATGGAAAAAGTGCATTGGAGACGAAGATGGAGAGGCTAGATTACAAGTCAACAAAACTCAGATTCCTAATGTAATTGCAGAGATGCATGACATTGCATAGAGAGGGGCATCCTATTTTGGTGAACTAGGTTGGTATGGTAGGAAAAGGCTTTGTGTGAATGTGGTTATTGTGAATGGGAATATGAATATCAAGTTGGCTCAAATGTCCAGATTTCTATTTTGTTGAACTGAGATTCCTATTTTGGCTCAAATAGAGGGGCATCCTATTTTGGTGACTCCTTAATGTTATTCAAATGATTTGTGTGTGAATGTTTTTTTTTTTTTGCACAATGATTGTGGACTATCATTTGATAAGATTTTATTATGTGAATGGGAGTTATTATTTCATATTAGTGTTATTTTTTAGTTTTATTATAGGTATTTTTTTAGTTCAATAACATAAAATTAGCACAATTTAAAAAAAAAAAAAAAAGAGCACTATCATGGCGTTTCTAAAAATGTCGCTAAATAGTATCCCAACGGTTGGATTTTTTGGGAAAAAGAGATATGACGGCGTTTTAAAAACGTCGCTAAATAGCATGGTGACGTCATGTTACCGTTAATGGAACTTTTAGCGGCGTTTTAAAAACGCCGCCTATAGTCATATAAGCGACGTTTCTAAAGCGCCATAGAGTTATAGTGACGGCCGCATCTTCGGCGTTTGGGGCAAAACGTCACGAAAGGATTTGGCGGCGTTCTTAGGACCTATTGCGGCATTTTTTAAACGCCTCTAAATCCTCCATTTCCAGCAGTGGGTACTACAAAACATTTTTTGATCTAGGTGAATTTGGGTTCGGGCTATTTGCAGTGTCGCTCGAGCCCATCAACGATTGCCCGGCCCACACAGTGTTCATGGATGGATACTATGTCGGCCAAGATGGCAAACCGGTAAGCAAACCAGTAAAAATTTCAAATGTTTTCTGCATTTTTGAGAAACATGCCGGAAATGTCTTGTGGCGCCATACTGAGACCGGCATTCTTGGAGAAGTTGTAAGTGATTTTTTAACATGTTTTAACTTTTTTTTAAAAAAATATTTTTTTATTATTATTATTTGTGACCAATCTGTTTAGGTTCGGTGGTGTATCAATTTACTATGTTTACTACTAATTACTTGTTTATTTATTTATTTTTTTTAGCAGAAACATGTTTAGGCTGAGTGGTGACTCAATTTACTAAGTAGACTAAAAATATTTATAATTTTATCAGCAACATTGCTTGGTTGAGTGCTGGGTCAATTCACTATCTATTTTTTTTTTTTTTTTGATCAGCAAAGAAAATCCTTTATTGATGAAGAAAACATACATTACATATAAGATAATATCAACAAGGAAGAGAAAGAAAAAAGGACAAGAAAAGAAACCGAGCATAATGTTAGTGAGAAACCAATACAAGCTTACAAGACCACAAACACTTGAAGCCAAAACCCAAAAACTAGCTAACAAAGCTTATACTCACTGAAAACTCCAGCTAAGCTTACTTGAAGCCATCCTTCAACCTTTTAAGACCAAACCTTCCTATTTGGATCTCTCTTTGTCCTTTAGCTCTAGCTCAATAATCTTGTTTAGCACATCATCTTCTTTCCCATTGAAATTGATGCGAAGAGATTTACCTAATTGTATAGTGGCTTTAGCTTCATCGAGAAGAAGATTGTTCGGACTAATAACACCCTCAGACAGATCTGAACGTGCAATCGCAGCTGCAGCTGGTCTGAAAATGACAGACCTAGAAGTGTGCTCACTGACTGCTGTAGCATGGTGCCCATGAAGTCTAGCAAAGCCGGTGAACCCCCCAAGTTGAACCTTCTTCTTTTTTTTCCTCTTCTCATTTCGCAGGAGTTTTGGGACAGAAACAGGTTGCCTAACTAAGCCTAACTGATTAAGGCTCAGAAGACCCTTCTTATTTAGATTCTTACTAAGAGCTTGTGCCAAATCCACTTCAAGATTGATACCAAACCCACTTCCATCACGAGATCTACTGAAGCTTTTAATAAAACTAGGAGTAGATACTTGCTCAACAACAAAATTAGGACTGTGTACTAACTCTTCCAATATGGTCTCCTCGATAACTGTGTTTACCTCCTCGCCCAAATGACAATCATTAGACCCTGACCTTTGATCTACCTCCTTGGTACATACTTCACCTTCTCTGATGAACCCTTCATCCCACTTTGACTCCTCAACAACTGTGTTTACCTCCATCACAAGGTCAACCTCCTTATATTAGTTCTATACCATACCACAACTCCTATTTTAATGATTTAATCTGTTAATTTTTTAAATCCCAGTATGTAAATCTATCTTAAAAACAAATAATAACAAATATAATTTTAAAAATAAATCGTTCATTCTTATAAAATCAAATGTTATTAAATCACATGGGTACAATTATTATTTTTTTTTTTTCTGAATGATCTATGAAATAAAACTAAAAAAATTACAAATCAAATTATTAAAGTATGGTCCATGATAGAATCCACAAGCCCAAACTGGACCGCCACAAAAAGCTTTGGCATTGTTAATGTAAATTGTAAATTGTGTAAATTACCCCACCACCAACTCCACCTACCATCTCCACTACCACCCACCACCTCCACTACCATCCACTACCACCACTCACCTACCTCACCTACTCCCTAATCATCTCCTATATAATAGCTTGTAATCTACAAAATATATACAACAATCTTGTAATACAATCAATAATAATACATCAGTTATTTTACAGGCATAGAGGGTACAAAACAGGGACAGCAGAAACCTAATGTCTAAAAATAAAAAAATGGCATTTTTGCGACTGCTTAATTGTACCATTGCTAACAGAATTTTTTTGCATCGGTACTAGTGTTATCACATTTTTTTGCTTTGTTATGAAATATAAAAGGCAAAAACTAGGAAACCCAAAAACATAGGAGTTTAGGAATTTTTCGAACAACATTTTTGGACCCTCTAGCATTGCTGATATAAATATGATTATTTATTCTAAAAAAAATATCGGTTGAGAAAGTGCTTTTGCTATAACCAATATAATTTTGCAGATAAGGGAGGTAAGGCCAGAGGTGAGCCTAGTGGTGAGGATGGTATCAACAGTGGGCAACTATGACTACATAATTGATTGGGAATTCAAGCCTAGTGGATCCATAAAAGTTGAGGTAATAAATTTGATTCCATAATTAAAATTGAAATGTGCTTTAATTAGCACATACATAATAGGAATTTTCAATTTGACCAATCACTTTTAATATTTTTTTTTTCCCTAGCAGGTTGGGCTCACTGGCATACTGGAAGTGAAAGGAGTATCATATGCCCACACTAATCAAATAGCTGTATGGACCCTCAGGTACACCTTATGGTCCCAATGAAAAACTTCATTTGATATGTTTATAAATTTACATATACAAAATTAAACTACGAAAATTACTAAAATACATCTCAGCATGATGGGGTCCTTTTGTTTTTTTGTGTGTGAAAATAGTGAGTATATCAATCAATTAAGAGGCCCTATCAGACTAACATGTACATTCTATTATAAAACATGAGTCTAGGGTGAAGTTGAAGTAGACATGGTCAAGGTCAAGTGAAAGCCATCTTCATAAGTGATTACAACTATGAAGGCTAGGGACACAACACCATTAACGAGAATTCACCCTATTTATACAGATTTTTTTTTTAGTTTAATGTAGACTTGATTTATGTTTACTCATGCAGACTCCTACTCATCAAGGTTTTGGACAAATTGTGCAGGAAAAGGAAGATTGAGAACAAGGACATTGTGTTGTGGTACACCATGGGATTTCAATACGTCCCTTGCCAGGAAAATTTCCCGAAAATGACGATGCTAAGCGGTGGATTTGAGCTCCGGCCGACCAATTTCTTCAAGAGAGAAATCCAGTGCTTAAAACAAGGCCTCCCAAGAGTGTGCACTGGCCTAACTGCACTACCAGACCTTGATCAAATTTCGGCAAACAATGTATGTATAAAAATAAGCACAAAGTGCACATTAGCATCGATTTCTTTTTACTTGGCCTCTCTCAGGCGTGCATATTGTCGATATGCAAAATGACGACTGAAACCGATGCTCTCAATTCTTATTATGCTGTAATTTGCTTCGACAGTAAAAAAAATAATAATAATAATTTGGCATTTTTTCCTTAGAATTGGTTTCGCAGAATGAATAAGAATTACAACTCTGTAAAATTGAAATTCTCTTATTAAACCCAATTGACAATTCTAACAACACATTGTTAATAACTGGTCCAGGGTTCAATCAGTCGCATCGCCTTCTTCATCAATAGTCGAATAATTGACTCCAGTTAGGTTGTTTTCCTATTCCATTGATTTTTTCTTACCCATATTTCTTTTATTGTTGATAAAATTTTCCTGCACTTTCTTTTTCCTTTTTTTTTTTTTTTGGGCTAAACCATAGCAGCACAAGGAGAGTTGTATTAATAATCCAAAACCGAGAGGCATAACGAGCCTTACCTCATGCAATACAAGAAAAATGTAAATTTTCCTACACTGATTAATTTTGTTGCCCTAGGAAAATTTAACATTTTGAACACTATTATTGTTTGATCAATGGGTTTCTTTCGAAAAAATTTTCTGGCCGGAGCTCGAATCCATCATGGAGTGTTGGCATCACCGGAAAATCTTCCTGAGTCGGAACATGATGGAACCCAACCGTGTACCAAAGGACTATATCTTTGTTTGCAATCCGCCTATTTCTGCACATTCCAAAAAGCAAATTCTCATATCAATTTTTGTAACAAAGTTAAAAGATCCTAAATTTAGAGCCGAAAAATAAACCGAATTGTTCATGAATAAATCAAGTCGTGCTCATTTAATACTTGACTAGTTTGTTAAGTCAATGTACTCGACTAAAAAATTTAAACTTGTTTAGTAATCAAGTAAAGTTTGTGTAATTCAAACTCAGCTTGATTAGGTTCGTAAATACAAAATGTATAAATTCATATTTATTGTTAATAATACAACAAATTTATTTTCATTCATTAATTTTTAGTGTTTATGTAAATTTATATATTTAATTGACGAAATTTATTAATAATATAAGTATTCTTTTATATTTTGTTCATAATCTTCTTTTTTTTTTTTTTTTTTTTTCTCTTAATGTGTATGTTAATTCAAGTTTGATTTTTCTTTTCAAACTCAAACCCAACTTATTTATGTATTTCACTTGAGTCAAGCACAGACTCTACATTTGATAAATAGTTTAAGCTCAAATTTGAGTTCGATTAATTTTTAACAAGCCGAGTTTGAAAAAAAAAAATGTACCTGCGGCTCCAAACTGCCAAGTCATCGTCGCCGTGGCTCCGATCAGCATAAAACCCTCCAGCCCACCTCTCCAACCGATCATAGGGCGTCACCCACAGTTGATACTTGGTATAGGCAGCTCGAATTTGAGGATAATCATCAACAGACAGTAGCGAAGTAGCCGGTTGTCCCGTGATGAGCCGGTAACTCACCTGATTCCCCAACTTGGTCATCTTATTTGGATTCACTACTAACAACTCAGCTGGCTCCAAGCCAATCCGAGTTCTGGCTTTCATTTCTGACTCGACAGTTTCTCTAACCACAGTCCAGTAACTCTTTCTTGGCGTGCTAGGCTTAATCCCCACCGCTCGAGCGGTCTTTAATTTCGATCTGACAAATGAATTGTTTGTGCCATCAATGTCGAGGTCGAGGTAGTAAGTGAGGAAGTGATCATGATGGATTGCAATGGTATTATCGGCCACAAAGGTACCATAAACATCTTCTGTTTTGGGACCATTGTGTGCATACCAGGTTGCCTCCATCTCTAGCACCCCGGTCAAACTTACCTGGTAATTTACCACCAAAATAAATAAATAAAAATTGTTAGACTCGGTTTGTTTCAGCAAAACATATGCCGTTTAGTATGATAAAAGAAATATTTTCCTAAATTAAAGTATTATCAACCAGCACAAAAGCTGAAAAATATTTTCTTACCCCAACTTTAATGGAACCACTTTGCTTGAATTCCCAATCGAGAATATAGTCATAGTTCCCAACTGTAGCCACCATCCTAACCACCAAGCTAACCTCTGTCTCTCCACTTTTTAACTGCAAAATCAAACAAATCCAAATCAACATCACACAACTTTTTCCAAGACAAAATCACAAAACATATGCAAACAAATAACTGAAATCACCAAACTATGTTTACCAATTGTCCAGGAACTCCAATTTCAGTATGTCTCCATGCCACGTCACCAGAATATCTCTCAAAAATGCAAATTAAACTAGCCACTTGTTGTGCCTGCCCATCTGCCCCGGCCAGGTACACATCCATGTATGCTGCATTGTCAGGGCAGTCGATCAGTGGCATGAGGGAGTAGGCCGAATTCCCAAACCCAAATTCGCCGGCATCCATAAAGGTCCTAAAGTACCATTCGCTAGTCGGATCCATGTATGGTACAAATGTTTCTGACACGTGTCCTCTGTAAAGCACACGCCGCCACTTTTTCTTTCCAGCATCGAATACAGAGGCTGTTGATATGATTATCCCTGCCCGGGAATTGAATCCGACGTGGAAGGCCCAATTAGCCCACCTGACCTCATGACCTTTGATGGTGAATCCAGTTTTTGTTCCATTGGAAGGGGCCAAATTGGGCCCCCTCTGCCCTAATGACTGAAAATCAGTACCATCAGCACTAGGCAAAGGTGCTTTAAATCTGTCTGTATATTTTATAACTTGATTTGACTCAACATCGACTAGTATACTTATCCCCTCAATAGGCCTTGCGAAGATATTAGTCGTTCCTCCGCGATAGTAGCACAAATCTCTAAGAACTCGTTTAGTAACCAATTCTCCAAACCAACCAATTGAAAATGGTATGCAAGTGACTTCAGACAAATTTAGCCGCCTTTTCGAAATTGATTCCTTGAACTCGGGGTGTATTAGAGGCAGTATGCTAGCTTGGATGAGCTCATTGGTAGTAAATGGGGGAAAACCATGACCGGTGTAAACATGGTCGGATGTGATTGAACCAGTGGCTAAGTCTACAATGAGCTCATGGGTCTCACCCCTGGCTCGAACCACAACCTTGGCTCGACGATGAGGGAAAGATCCATTATGCTCATTGGAAGATAGCCATTTGAGAACATGTTCTTTCTCTGGTTCTTCAAGGTCGACAAAGTGAAAAGTCACTTTAGAAAGAGCAGTACCAAGATGAGATTTTTGGATTATGAGGCTAACTTGGTTGATTTCACTAGGTGTAAGAGGGTCTAGGGGGTGATGAAGAGTGGATATGAAGCAACATTGTAGTACAATAGCTGCAACTAAAAGTTGTGCAGAACTCAGTGCTTTCATCTAATCCACACAATATAGAAATTTTGATTGAGATGTGGTGTATCAAAATACCGTTTGGCAATATATATTGGAATAATAAGAGCTCCAATTGTTATTTAATTATGTCACAATTCTCACATAATGATAGCTGTATTAGAAAATTCATAATTTTGTTGTGGGTCAACTTTTCCTTTCAAGGAGGCAATTAATGCACACCCTATCACAATCAATAATGAAATGCTAGGACCAAGAAATGAGATTTAATTTTTTTTTAAAAAATAAGAAAAATGAAGTATGATCTAAATTCAACTCTTTTGTGATGGGATCTTCAATTTAAATAAATCTGAACCGCAAACTGTTTTTCTTGATTTTTTTTCTTATTTAATTATTGGTCTCTAGTAATCGCTATTAGTGGGCAGGAATCCTCTGGACAAATAGGGTTAATGCTAGGGACACTAAATTTTCTACCAAACAAATGACCAAATGTCTCACATGGGTGTGGGGTCCGCAAGTTTGTGGACCCCACACCCATATAAGACATTTGGTCATTTGTTTGGTAGAAAATTTGGGACCTCTAACATTTTCCGAACAAATAATATGATAAGTTTTTCAAAAAGACATCATGTAGCACGATAATAGATGGCAATACTAATCAATCTTTGACTGGATTTGGAGTGGCTGCTGTGCGGGGTGCATAGCATGCCACTATTGTACAGCCAAATAAACTTATTTCGAGACTCATTTCGATAATTCGAACCGTTCACATTTTAGAATACATTAAGTAGAATATTTCTACAAAAAATTAAGTTAATCGGATATCGTTTATCCTTTCATCTACTCATATTTGTATTTATTTTAATACTTTAAATCACAATTATTATTTATTTTTGTAGATATAAATGTGAGTGAATGAATGAGTAAATGATATTCGATTAACTTAATTTTTTGCAAGTATAATCTACTTGATATATTTTAAAATGTGAACGGTTCGAATTATCAAAATGATCCCCAAAATGAATCTATTTGACTGCACAACAATAACTGTTGTGCATCCCACACAACAATCACCCCAAATCCATCATGACATGTACCAGGATAATAGAAGGCAATACTAATCAATGACTGGAATTTCATATACAACAATGCAGCACACAACAATAAATAGTTTTCTATTACACACTACAGTAAATAATTTTCGCGTGATATTGATTGTTAGGTATGATCATGCGTGCCTCTCGTGTTATGAAGTAAGTATTATTGAAATGGAGGTCAATCTTAAATCGAGGTTCTATTCTAGAAAGAAATGTACGATTGAGTGTTAGAAAATTCAGCATTTTTAGACTGAAAATTGCCATTTTAATTTCATTTCCTCTTACATGGTTCAATATTCAACAAATTAACTTTAAATAAAGAAAAAATTGATTGATAGAAAAATAATGTGATACTGTTATTTTTGTAAATATAAATAATCTTTATAAATATTTTGTTTTAAAGTGAAAGGTTGAATCACATGATTCTGTATAAATGTTTTAATCTAGATAAGGGAAAACGTGGCTTCGTTTGGCCATGTGGATTGGGTTAGGTTGGGACTAAATTAGTCACTAAAAGATAAAATATGTTAAAAAATTAATAAGATAAAATATCAAATTCAAATTATAATCACTTCACTTTTTTTTCTCACAAAATTCAAAAAAAACCAAAAAAAAAATTTGCCAAACAAACATTTTAATCTCGAGCTAAAAAAGTTTCCACACTAAAATGTCAACTAAAAAAAGTTTTGCCAAACGATGATATAGGACTATTTCAAGAACATGGTTAAAAGCTGAATGACCAAGAAATGAGATTTAAAAATATTTAAAAAAAAAAAACCAAGAAAAATAATGTATGATCTAAATTCAACTCTTTTGTGATGGGATCTACAATTTAGATAAATATGAATGACAAACTGTTTTTCTTAATTTTTTTTCTTATTTATTTATTTTTTCAGTGGCTCTCTTCGGAGAGCTCGTACTATACTCCGATCGAACCTTGGTCTTGTTGGGGGTGATTGATGAGTTCCACTGATACCTCAGTGGTGGATCTCTTCCTATAAATTGGGTTAAATTAGATCGGCAAATGGTTATCCTAAAATCAGAACTCGTGAATACCATGATAACAACTTAGGATATCATTTTTTATCTAGATCAAAAACAAATATTACTCTATACCTATTTCTGACCAGGAATCCTCTAGACAAATAACTTGATAAGTCTTTCCAAAAGACGTGATGTACCACGATAATAGAAGGCAATACTAATCAATGACTGGAATTTCACGTATAACAATGCAGCAGACAACGATAAATAGTTGTTTCATTACACACTACAGTAAATTAATTTTCGCTTGATATTGATTGTCAGGTATGATCATGCGTGCCTGGGATTTTTCTATCACACATGAAGGTGGTTTTCATGTAGCATATCTAAATAAATTTGAAGCATTAGATTTAAAAGTAAAATAAATTTAATCATTGATTGATAATAATTAAAATCACATTAAGAAATCTAGGTAGTTTTGTGAAAAACAAGATAGTTTCCTATGGTTTTGAAACTAAAAAATAGTTTTCAACTTACCACAATAACTAAGTACACTTACTATTTGATACGATTATACTTATTGTTTTTAATAACTATACTTACCATTCAATTATTAATAAATGACACTTAACCTGCTATTCAGGTAACAGGTAAACTTAAAAAATTAAGTTATAATAAATTTTCAAAACCTCTAAAATAAATATAAAATTTATAAAATAGAATTTAAGAAAAAAATATACAAAATAAATGTGAATTTTATTATATTTTATTATAATTTATTACATTTTATGAAATATGATTTTTTAAAAATTTATTTATCTATTTAATGGCATAAATGAAACCTAATTTCCTTTTCATTTACCACACTTGAAAATAATAAATGCAATTAATGAAGAAATATAATTAATAAAACATAGAAAAATTTAAAATTTATTTGAGGATTCCATGAACAAAATTTTATGTTTATTTTTAAATTTTTTCAATATTTGAAGATAAGATTGTTGTTGATTTAGAACTCCTCATGTAAGAATCTATTTCTCTATAGTCTCTATGTCTTTTTTTTTCCCTTTAACTTTCCATGATATTTTGAATTAATAAATTTTAGCGTTTTGTTGGAACAATATTTCACCTAGTTAAAAGAAAACTTATGAGATTTAAGTGGTAAGAAAAAAAAAAAAATCAAGTTTGATGAAACAGTAAGTGCAGTCGTAAGTTTAGTTTAAATGATTGATTAATCAAGTCTACTAAAATAGTAAGTAGAGTCCCATTGAATAGTAAGTATTGTTTAAGTGATGAATCAAGTTTGATAAAGCAGTAAGTATAGTCTAATTGAGTAGTAAGTGTTATTTAAGTGATGAGTCAAGTTTGATAAAGTAGTAAGTAGAGTATCATTGAATAGTAAGTGCTATTTAAATGGGGGTAAGTCAAATCTGATAAAGTAATAAGTGGAGTTAGTAAGTGTGGTTTAAATGAGTGGTAAGTAAGTCTGATAAAATAGTAAGTGTGGTTTAAATGAGTGGTTTCTAACTAACTACAACAACTAAACACACTTGCTACTTAATATGGTTGTACTTACCATTCCACATAACTACACTTACCCTTCAAACATTAATAAAATGCACCTAATAAAATAAATATAAAATTTATAAAATAGAATGGTTGTTGATTTTAAGCTAAAACTTTTGAAGATTTTAAGCTAGAATGGTTGTTGTTGGAACTCCTTAGGTAAGTCTCTCTCTTTTTACTTTCACTTCCATTATATTTTGAATTTATAAATTTTTATGTTTTGTTAGAACAATAGTTCATCTAGTTAAAAGGAAAATTATGAGATTCAAGTAGTAAGAAAAAAAAATCAAGTTTGATGAAATAGTAAATATAGTCTTAAGTTTAGTTTAAATGATTGATAAGTCAAGTTTAATAAAGTAGTAAGTAGAGTCTCATTGAGTAGTAAGTATTATTTAAATGAGTGATAAGTCAAGTTTGATAAAGTAGTAAGTACAGTCTTATTGAGTAGTAAGTTTGGCTTAAATGAGTGGTAAGTCAAGTCTAATAAAGTAGTAAGGAGAGTCTCATTGAGTAATAAGTGTGATTCAAATGAGTGGTAAGTCAAGTCTGATGAAATAGTAAGTACACTCTCATTGACTAGTAAGTATGGTTTAAATGGCTGATAAGTCAAGTTTGATAAAGTAGTAAGTCGAGTCTCATTGAGTAGTAAGTGTAGTTCAAATGAGTGGTAAGTCAAGTCTGATGAAATAGTAAGTACACTCTCATTGACTAGTAAGTATGGTTTAAATGGCTGATAAGTCAAGTTTGATAAAGTAGTAAGTCGAGTCTCATTGAGTAGTAAGTGTAGTTCAAATGAGTGGTAAGTCAAGTCTGATAAAGCAGAGAGTATACAGTCTTATTGAGTAGTAAGTGTGGTTTAAATGAGTGGTAAGTCAAGTCTGATGAAATAGTAAGTACAATCTCATTGACTAGTAAATGTGGTTTAAATGGCTGATAAGTCAAATTTGATAAACTAGTAAGTAGAGTCTCATTGAGTAGTAAATGTGGTTTAAATGAGTGTTAAGTCAAGTCTAATAAGAGAGTAAGTAGAGTTTTATTGAGTAATAAGTGTGGTTTATACTGAAACTTATATAGGTACTTTTCTCAAAATCATTCAATTTGCCCAATAACACAAACAATTCACTATTCTTTCTCATTTCCCATTTATAAATGACGCATTACAACTGGTTGTTTTAAAAATACTTTCACAAAAATCCGATTACTTCTTATTATTTACGCCCAATACAAAATATAGGTTCACTTCTAATACATTCATCACATTCCTTTGGCCCTAAGTCCGTGGTCAAAAAACATTTTCAACAACTCGTCCAATAAACCTGTGAACATACATATATGTCCTAACACGAATACGAAATCAATACATGTATAATGATTACTACGCTATCACATAATTAAAGTAACCTGGTCTCATCCAACCGT